ACAAAGGACCTTTTGAATGAAGAAGCCAGTGGAAAATTAAAGGACGGGTTGTTTCAACCATCTTGAGACCATTTTGTGATATAGGGGTAATTCTCTGTTGATGCTGACTAGTACAGCGGGACCAAACCTGTCTATTTTTTCGGAAGCAGAACTCACGATGGCGACGACCGATTGCATTGAAATAGAATTCCGATTGGACGTTTCTGTCAGAGCCAGTGCTTAGAAAGCAAGGCATCAGTCAACCGAAAAACTTAGGAAACGTGACACGACAGTTTTGTTTTACTACAGTAGATTCTACTGAAAGCATCTTATCAGCGCAGAATCACAAACTTTAGCTTTTTTCTGATGGCTCTAAAATTTTGTTGACCAATGAGTGGTTTTCATGTTTTATTGTCAGTTTATATGATTTGAAAGGTGTCGGTGCACTGAAATTAAAAATGAGTTGATGCGATCCGGAAATAATTTCAAAGATTTTAAAATTTAGCTCTTGGAATTACATCTACCTGCTTCAAAGTGACTCGCATTCTACCTGTTCATTCTGTCCACAGAATTCACATGTTGTTGCGCTCTAAAGTACCTGACTACTGCACTTATTTTTTGGATGCTGTTTAATTTTTTAAGCGAAAAATTGGTATTCATTGTGACAGAATCATCTAGTTGCGCACACAGGGGCAGTATGACCTAGAAAACTCTTGATCTTCTAAATCTGCAGTGGCCTAACTTTCCTTTTCGCTGTCTGCTTGACTAACACATTCGCTATGGACTTTCAGTGCAACTTTCAGCGCGAATTTCACAACCATTGGTTTACTCGACGGAAGATATGCTTATTTTATCGGCTAGGCTTTGTTTATTCGACAAGTTCAGTGATGAACTTCTGGAACACGGAATATTGAACGAAGTTACACAAAAAAGGAAATTAACGCAAAATCTGTCCACATTGATATGGTTTCCCATGTCGGCTTGTTCAAATGTTCAACGTACCCTAAATATGACCTCAAAAAGTAATGAGGCTCACAAGCAGGCAAAACTCAGACATGTAGACCAAGATGAATAAATTCACCCCGAACGAGGCTTACAATGGACTACCATTTTTCAATAAGCAGAGATTTTTTAACGCATTAAGCGGTTTGGGATTTTCACTGGCAATTGAATTCTATTAGAAATTCGTTCTTGGATTGTGTCAAGTCTTCAGCCATTTGGTGCTTGACATTCAAAGGCCTCATTCTTGATTATTGATGTTTGTTTGAAATTGCACTGCAGGTTTCTTTCCGCAGATGATTCCCGCACAGGCTTTAACCACAGGACGAAACATCCGTTATAAGTGTGTTTAGTGGGCTCTGACAATGTTTCATTAAAGTAGACAGTCAGTACTGCCAGTGAAGTGGAGTTCATAACTCAGGTAAAGAAAATGTTTGGTATAGAATCCAATTAAATGAGAACATAATTTCAAATATGAGGGGCTACCAGCCGTCCGGTCGTGGCTCCTGATAACATTCCCCCGAAGTGGAGGTTCAAAGTGATCGATCGGATTCGTCAGCTTAAAAATTCCTTGACCACTACCACTTAGAGTCACAACCGGTAGGAATAAAGTCCCACCGTGCCGGTGGGTAGACTAGAACATCACATAGAGTTCAAACAGTCACACGGATGCCAAAGTATGGAATAGAAAATCCGAAAAAAGATGGGCGATTTACAAAACTTGAACGTCTGTCAGTTCAGCCGCATTAATTTTTGGGGTCACAGTAATTCAAGATAAACTGCTTCATACCTCATTTCCAGCTTTGAAAACGTTTACGTTAAATTCACCCTTATCAACAGTACCACCTGAATTGAATAACTTAGTGTAATAATAATAAACTCAAATAATAAACTGACTAAAATAGCTCGTCTGTGGACGGCTAATCCGGATGGCAAATGACCTGAAAATTAACCCAACTGAACTCATGTGGGACTCACCTCCAAGTTTGGCTCACTTTTGCGTTACAGATTTTCTCGTGTCCAATCGCTGCAGCGATCCGAGGTATTCTTAGAGCCGACTCAGTCTTCCTCAGGGGAAATCAGCTTAGGAGCTAGAAAACATCTTTACACCCCACAGTCTGGTTCCGCCTGAGGGTTTGCCTCCAGCCTAAATTATGGAAACAAAAGCCGGGCCTTTGCTATCTTCCTTGTGCCCGGCCGGTGGCACTCCGATTGACCACCTGCGGTTCGAATCTTTCAGTCACATCTGTGTTCCAGAGTGCACTGAACCCAGCTGACTTAAGGTGGCGTGGAGAAATTAGGTATGACAATGTTGGGAATGACGTCGACAGTGGTGGATTAGCACTGGGAACCATGTCGGACACATTCATTTCCAGACCTTGCTCAACCCCTTCTGAACGTCTTCCTGTCTCGTATATGCGCTAATTCAGCGTGCGCTTTAGCGCTGTTTACGGGTTTATGGTCTAGCACACACCAGAAACAACCACTTGATTTGACATACCGTCTAAGGCCAGTGTCTAGTCCGCTTAAAGTGCGTTAAGTTTTCCACGTAAATGTTAAGCCGGCCTCCAACTGGTCATGTGCACTCAAGGTCGTCTGATGAACATTCTTTCAAACCAGAATGTTAAACCGGCATGGTCATAAATTGGCTGTTCTATGTGCTGGCTACCCAAGAATTGAACAGGCTCGCAATCACTGCACGTAAATCTACTCTGCATCGTTGCAGCTCGACAGAATAATCGGGAATTATCCAACACCCCGGTGAACGCTACTGGGCCGGTCTTTGCCATTGTTCGCATCTCCTTCCATTGTCTAAGGTTTTCAGAGTAGTCAGCAGTCTTACGCTGCGCGCTCCTCACATCATTCCATTCGGGCCCGGGAGCCCATTCAAACCCGGAGACGTTCAATCATTTTTCGCCACACGGCATGAACTTGCATCGTCCATCTCTTTACCCGCCCT